TAGCATTTAAATTTTTTTTTCTGTAAGAAAAAAAATGGTTTAATGTATTCAATGGATTACAATTTACGCTCTACTGTTGAGAATTTTTATATTGAGACAAACGGTTTCAGGGTAAATGTTTTATGATTTAACATATATGTTTTTCGTTTGTGATTACATTGATATTTTGAATTCATATGTATATTTCAATTTTAGTCTTAATTTTTATATTTAATTTTAAGAGTTCTGTTTTACGCCATAGTTTAGAATTATAAAATCTACGTTATGTATTTCTACACTCCTATTAATATATAAATTTCCTTATTTTTTTATCACAATTGTATATATATATATTATTTAAGTTAATTATATGTAGAATAATTTTAATTACAAAATAGTTTACACTGTAGGTCATATACCATTTTCAACTTATATTATTTATTATACTACTTTATTTATTTTTTCATAATTCTTTATGATATATGACATATTATCAGTATCCTGTAGCAAGCGTATATAATTTTTTATACAAAAAAAAGCCTTATATATTATTTTACACAACTTATATAGATGAATTTATAATTGAATATATTATTAATAGATATATTCTTTGGGCCACTTAAAATTTAGTATTCTGTAAAATTCTTTATTTTTAATTTTTTCCTTCTATTTATTTATTAGAACAACAGTGCTTCCTTTATAAGCTTAATTATAAAAAAGAATTAGCATATTATTCATTTTATCGAAAATATTATGTTTTATGGTAGAAAAAAAAAATTTATCCTTTTACAGTATTAACATAATTAAGGATGAGATTTTATTAATTTATCTAATAAATTATTTAATGAAACATAAAAAATTTGATAGAGTGTAAATTAATCACTTAATGAATCGTTTTGATAAAAGTTAAATACTATTTACAATTAGTTATTATAATTTACCCTCATGAAATAGAGTTAAGGTGTATATTTAGTTTATATCACTCTTATAATAACTAATAGTTCATGAAAATAACCTATTATCTCTGTATGAACAATAATCATTATATTTTTAATTAAAAAATAAGAATAATTTTTCTAATATATGTATTCTTTTTTTTTTATTGATAAAGAATATACTATGAAAATTTTTTTTTCATAAAATTTTAGCTTATACATTATATTTAGAAAATATAATTTTATTTGTATTATGAAACAATTGATATGAAAAAATAGATTTATATATCAAAATATATATTACATATTTATGTAAATATTCCCTAATGAAGTGCAGTAGTAAATTCATAATTTTCTAAAGATATCTTATATATTTGATACACTACTGCAGACTTAATAATGATTTATAGAGAATCGTAAAACATAGAACAAGGATTAATAAAGGATGCATCGTATACGATTCATGTATATATCAAATATTATATGACTTTCGTTTTTAATATATATGTAAATTAGTGTATAATGAGAATTAAGATAAAATGGACTTTATCACAATGTTAATACACGAATGATATATTTTCTAATATAAAATAAAATAACATATATGAAAAATAAATATATTATTAAATCATATAAAAATATAGGTATATTCTATAAATAATAGAACAAAGAAAGCAATTCAATTACCATATCCAAATTTACTTTATATACATAAATGAAAATTATAATATTTATACAATTGTATTATTTGCTGCAAGATAATTGTATGACATAATTAATTAAAACAACGAATAAAATTAAACAAAATACAGGAACATTAAAATAGTAATAATAAAAATGAATACTAATTTCTAAATATAAATTTTTGAAGCTCAAAACATAAACTAATCCCTCATATCAAGGCAGTTAGTAAAATAAAAGTAATCAAATATTTGGAAGTTATAATACATATTTAAGCATGACGACTGGACAGTGAAATATAAAATATATTTTATTTCTCCTTGTAAATGCATTATATTGAAGAATATTATTATTTCATGTATTATATCTTAAATGTTTTACTTAAGAATATCATTTTTACTAAAATTATTTCATGTTTTATTCTCTGTTCTATAATTCTCCGTTATATTGTAAATTCTGTACAATGATCATTTAATATTAATCTATAATCTAATATTACATCTCCATACTATTAAAAAGGAGAAAAATAAATAAAATTTCTAATTACTTTCCTTATATTTCTTAGAGGCATATCCGTTAGTGGAAGATAAATAGAAATATAAATGGAAGTTTTAACAAAAGTAAAATTCACTTTTTATAGTATATAAATATTTATTGAATTGTTCCATTTGCATGAAATATACAATCTGACCTTAGATTTATTAATAATTATATTTTTCTTAAATTCAATTACTAGGTTAGTTGTATATTATAGATGAAATTATGTTTTTCATACATATATTAATAATGGCATTATCTGCCTTCATAAAAAAAATTTTATTTTATTTGTAAAATAATAAATTATATAGGACTTAATGATAAACATAGATACGAATAAAATAACCATAATTATATATTGTAGTATTCCTTCTTTTACAATTAATTTGTACAATATAATATTTGTTCATAATTTTACACACAATGTACCCTTTAAAAATATTTTTACAATTAATGACAAAGATATAATAATATTTTATTCTATTTACTATTTCTTTATATATAATATATCATGAATTTGATCATATCTAATATTCTTAGGCGATATTACCTAAATTACGGTAATTTTTGTATTAACTATTTTGTACATTAAAAAAATTATGTTGGGTTATATCCGATATAATTCTCTTCTATATTGTCATTGAATGAATCATATTTTTCTAATGCATCAGGTAATAATTATTTTCCTTTTCATATATATTTCATATCATATCAGTTATAATGGAAGAGTTATTTTGTAAATGCCCTCTTATCGTTGTGAACATGTATATATAATAATAATATGAAACATATGAAATATATTAAAATTTATTAAGATCTACCTTATTCAGATACATTACAAATTATATAAAATTATGATATATATTAATGGATTTTTTATTTACTTTATATAATAATCCAAGAATTCTAGATGTTACATAAAAACTTGGAAGGGCATTTTCGAATGTGTTTGACATTGTTATAAATGGTGCTTCTTAACTGCAATTATTCCAAGTATTCTGCTATTAATGATGACACTTTTTCTCCTTTTCTAATTGAAAATACTTCTTGTTTTCCAAATGAATCCCTAATATGTTCTTACCCTATGAGTACAGATTTATGGCGAATAATGTTAACTATTACTCTATCTAACTTGTGATTTTTAAAATAATTATCAAAGTGTACACATAGTGCATTATATTGGGGATTACAATTATTGTTAAAATCATTATATAAAATAAATATAAGCTCAAAATATTTGTATTGAATATTGCAATTATTCATATTGGATTGACACTCTTTATTGCATACATAATAATCTAGTCAATTATCATGTAATTCATGTTCTTCATTGAGGATATTACATATATATATTTCAGAATTAAGGTTATGCATTGTCGGATTTGATTTATAGTATGCTTAACAATGAATAATATATATATTTCTAATTTTAGCGTGAATTTCTTTAGATCAACTACACCTTCCATTATACTTGTGCATTAAATTATCATATATCAATAAACTCAAGAGATTGCGATGTACAAGCTTGTATTCTTCGTTCTTCTACATATGCATATTTGCTTTAAATAATCTTTGATATGAGCATAAAGATTTTCAATACAAATGTCTTTATTTAAAGTATGATCATAAAATAAATAATATAATGTTCCATTTTGTAACTCCTTAATATTACCTTCTAATATTTTATATGATTTTTTTGAAGACAGTTCATTTTTTATTAAATTATAATAATTGAATATTATAAATAAAATATACAGCGTATCAATTTTTCATATATTCATAAAAAAGCATATATTCTATAGTTTTTCCAGTGTTTGTCAAAATAAATTGTGCAGAAATGCCATATAATTAGCAATTGTAAATATATAGGTATCCTTACATATAAAGAAAAAGTCTCCATAATTATAATTTCTAATCTATGAATTATTCTAGGTAAGTGAATTATGAGGAATCTTCGCTAATAATATATAAAAACAATTTGAATTTAATAATACATTATGTACACACAAAATATTTGTAAATTATCATTAAGATATTATTAAATAAATATTCTTATAAATGTTGTAATATATATATTAAACATAATATTAAATTTCATAAATTAATGTTATTATTAATTTTAATTACTTGTAGATATATATTATACATTTTATATATTTCCTTCATTAAAGTATAAAAAGTATTGAAGACTATTATATTGAATCATATTTATTTACAAAAATGCATTTAAATAATACAAAATATATATAAGAACGATTTAATATAAAAAATAAAATTTACTTTTAACATATTAATTTTAGTTTATAACTGAAAATGTTCGTGTCTCAGGATTTAGTGTTCACTATTTAGTTTTATGGATAATTTTTAGTGCTGTGTTATAATATCTTCAATGGTCAAGGTTGTTATTTGAATAAATATATAAATTAATATATTATAATTATTAAAAAAATCAATTTTTATAGCTTTTATATTTGTTAATAATAATATATATATAATAAATATTATACTAACTATGAACTAAACATAATAATCTCTCTATAATATATTTAATATTTGTTGTATGGCACAATAGTATAATATGTGGTATTACATGTTTAATTTAGTAATTATTTTTAATTCTTAAATGTTTTTTATTTTAAAAACATTATTCCAATAATAAGAATTAAATATATAAAATTAATGAAATGCTAAACTAATATATTAGTTGTTATCATTTAAATAATTTTTTTGTAATATATAAATGTTTGTGTATCCTTGGAAATAAGGAAAAAGGAGAAAAAAAGGATACATAATAATTATTAAAAACATATATATTTTTTATATTTCCCGATGAATGTAAAAATATATGTACTAACTATATTATTTTTATTTATTTAATACTACCTATAATACAATTTTCATTGCTTCTGCATTCATAAATATTTATTTAGTGTAAATAGCATGCATAAGTATATTTTATAGAATAAACAAAAATAAAATAAGAAAATTCAAAGATTTTATTTTAAATATAATTATAATTTATAAAAAAAATTAAAAATATATTTGATACATCAAAAAATATATATTTTGTGATATTCTGCCACTGTATATTTTAATATATGTATTATCTGATAGAAGGAATGAATATGCCATTTAATTGTAAAGAGTACATAAAAATAATACAAATATACATAATTTTATTTTTTATTATACAAATATATGTCACATATAAAATAATAATAATTTCTGTAATATGCAATTGTTATATAGTGCGTACGTAACTTATGTCTCAGTTTTATAATTATATGATATATACTATTATATATTTTATTATTAAATGTACTACAATACAATATTAGTTTTTCTTAATCTGTAAGTACATAGATATAACAAGTATTTATTATGATAATCATTTTATTATATATATATATATGTCATTTTTTTTATTACTATGAGGGAAATAATACACCATAATTCATTAAGTATTAATCTTAAATAATAAACATACATATTATGTAGATGTTTTACATTATACCCAATTTATACTCAAAATTAAAGATGTAAAAATATATACTATATAAAATAATTATTTCTAACATAAATATATTTTTTATTTCATTTATTATTGTGGTTAAATATATATTTAAGTGCAACATAAATAGGCTATATGATGAATTCACGTTTTATAATATAATATTATTTATAAATTGCAGTCTTATATAACCATTTTCTTATGTTTATTTATATTATAATGTAAATGTTTATATTCATCATTAATTCTATTGAACAATTTAAAAAAAGGATTAATGAAAAAATGTATTGTAATATTTATAAAATATAAGCACCAATACACGCCCTATCTATGTAATAGGTATTCTTATAATTTTATTAAACAAATAGTAAAAAGAAATAATTTGTTTTTATGAATTATTTCTCAAATAATTATATAATGGAAAATCCAGAATATTCGAAAAAAAAGGTATTTTATTATTTTTTTATAGATATATTTTAAATTATTTAATTTTAACATACTTTATTTGTAAAAAACAAGAAATTATTTTTTTTCAAAAATATTATTTTAAATTTTTCATTTCATTAATACATTAATTTGTAGTTCGATTTTAGTGATATATTTCCACAATGCTCAAAAGGTTATAAATGGGAAAATCATTCACCTACTGATTCTCTGGCTCAAAAGTTAACACCACTATGTAGTAAGTTTTACAATAGTTGTGTGGCTGGTCATGATAATAGTAGTTTTAGTTCAAAATGTCAACTTGTTACTTTTTATTTAGCTCATATAAAAAATAAAAAAAATGAATTTCAGGTAAATCCATGTTGTAAATATTTCTTTTACAAACTGTGGCATCTACTAAGAAATTATCCAAGAACTTGTGGTGACACTAAAAAGTGTTATGAAAAAATGAAGACCTTAATTAGCGCTACGAATAACAAGGAAGAGATTAATGAATTATTTTCACAGTGTAGTAATTTTCCTAACGATTTTGATCAAGATATATTCAAAATATTTGAAAAGCTTGATATAATATATAATGCTTTAGATGCATTTACAAGCAAGCCATGTCCAGCCCAATCGGATCTTTTGAAAATCAGGGCACAGAAGGCATTCCTAGAAGAACGTCAAAATATATATAACGATAGTTTTACAAAATTGCTTAGAAATTTTAATGATTTATTTAAAAATTGTGTGAAAGGCTTAAATGGTACAAAGGGGTGTGTAGTACCATTTTTATCATATGTCTACGAGGAAGAAAAGGCTATAGGAATAATAAAAATATTTGA